GTGTGGTTTCCGCTTAGTACAATTGGTCCCTTACTTCCGCTCGTCTTTGCTCCGTGGCCTAATATAATCAATTCATCTTATCGAAAGGAATAAACTCCTGCGCTTCTGCATAAGTGGGCGGCCGGTCCGTTCCGTCCCGGAGTTTTGTTCCGTAATGGTGCTCGCACGACCAGCCAAGCGGCGCCGTGCCGACGACCCATGGGTTTCCTACTTCAATAGCTCAGTAAACTAATCAAAAATGGCGATCGAAGAAAAATAATACCGGAAGTTTTGAAAACTTGGCATGCCTGTTTGTTGTACCTACTGCGTATCATACTAAAAACCTCAAGTTGGTGGTGAGACGGAGCGGGCTATTGTTTTTGAAGGTGCTGTTAACGAAGTTTTTTGGGGCATATAATCCATAACAATCAATTCCACAGGAAGTATGTTGTTGTACAAAATTTAAAGTAGATGCTGTTTTCTACAAAAAATTCTTATCAGATATAATGTTGTAAAATAAGCCATTTAGTGTTAGGCTGGGGATCAAAATGTGAGCAGGGTCTGGTGGGGAGTACTGAGGCCCATAGTGCTCAACCAAAAACCAGGATATACCCCCCTGTATGCAGATTCCCGATTTGGGAGCGACGGTCAGCACAGTCCTATGTCTCTGCCTCCGCGTTGCGGCCCGTGCATACTCTTTGTGGTGAGAATCTCAGAGAGTAACTAATGGAGGAGGTCGGTTAAGGCGAGCTCTGGCGTCTTAAAACGAGAGAGCCTTGGGCTAGGGGAAGAAAAACGAAGGGGAGGGAGCCTCTAAAGCTGGGAGAAAACCTCTCACCGCTAAGGAAAGGGACATCCTGAAATCAAACCGGCCCTCCAGGGTGGGGTTGAGGCAAGGGGTTGGTGATCGATCTCGGAAAAATCCACCACGAATCCAAATCAACATTATTTGAAGACGTTTTTAATTAAGCGATCGTTTAGAAAAATTGTCATCTTCATAAAATGTAGTTTGTAGGAAGACGCCGAAAAAATTTAGATTTTTTTTTTTTAATTTCGAAAATCTGGGTTTTCAAAGCAGAGACACGCACATTGCTCTTAAGGCGCCGGTTTTCACCAACAGCCGAGTAAAGTTGAGGTACGTTACCCGGAGTACGCATTAAACTCAAGATAGTAACTCCTCAAGTAGAATATGGAGCGTTTCACCTTGGCTTTCTGGAGGGTTATTTTACTCTACATGTGAATACTGTCCTATTTACTCTGCAAATCAGCCTGAACACACAATATTTGAGGCGATTCAAAGAGGCTGTGAGCAAGAATGAGCTGGGAACCAATGCGGACAACGCGACCTTTGATAATTCTTATATTCTATATTTCATTTCAGTTCGGAGTTCTTGGCGTTATAATCTGGTGTGGGTGTTAATGGTGGTTTGTGTTAGCATAGTTTTTTTTTTCCAAAATCTTTCTGTATCTTTATTTAGTAATAAATATGCATTTCTTCTTTGAGACGAGTTACTATTTTGTTTAAGCAATGCAGAAAAATCTAATTTGCAGTTCGTTTACCCGATGGCCGCTGCCAAATGAATTTTCTATAACTAGGGAAACGAAATTTTTAGTTTTTCAAATGTTGCCGGATCTCGTGTTTTTCTAATTTTATTTTATATGTTGTTTTTGTTTTTTTTTAAACTTTTATCATCTTTCGACCTGTTTATAGTTAAAATGTTGGAAATGGATTCTGGAAGAAAAACTTGCGCAAATGATCTCCCCATACGTCACAATAACAGTTTTTGACTAAATAAATATTTCTTTAGTACTTGTAGTTCCTGGTTGTTTTAACTTTTTCCCTTTCTTATCGTAATTCGGTACGTACTACCTTTATTTCGTATCACATGGCAAAAAATAACTTAAGAAGTTCTTACTAAGTTTAGCAATGTGTTGAATTGAAGTTAATGCACTGATTTGGTCAAACATAACCTCATGACAAAAATCTCGAATCGTCATAATTAAAACCAATCCATTCTCTCTCGCACCCCTTTGTCTTCGCACCTAGTCGGAAAATATTCCAAATCATTGCTGGATCGTCTTCAAATACTATCATTCGTAATCGTCGAACCGTAAACACTTCGCAGGTACATGCACGTTGAAAACTGAATTTAAATTCTCCGTACTCGCGACGGATTTTCGCGGTGTAAAGTTACTCTCGTGTAAGCGATTTACTGCTCGAGTAAACAATGGTTTTCTCCAGAGTAAACTCTTACTCTTTGGCTTGGTGAAACCAGCCCAAATCTCCTTTAAGACTCAACAAAACTTCATCAAGAAACAAGAGTCGTGAAAAAAAAATCATTTTTACAAAATAAAAAATTGAGAAAAGACGCCAAAAGAAATAATTTTTTGGCAGTTTTTTTTTTTTTTTCCGAATAATCAGAATTTTAACGAAAACGAACTGCACCGATCCCTTTTGACACTAGGGAACAGTCGAACAACGAAGTTTCATAAAAAAAAAGATGGAGCCATTTTTTTGAATTTTGAAAATGTCCGCAAGGGCTTCTTGTTAAGTAGACCCCAAAATTAAAAATATCGGTTCAATTTCAAGGAGCCGCTTGACAATTTTGTAGGAAAATAGGCTGAAATGGTGTAGCCGCTAATCGTTCAGCAAGACGGACGTTTTGCCTCAATCGGATTTTTCGGTATGAAGGACCGCACAAAACATGGTTTCTGGCAGCAAGCCGATGTGTTCGAGGACTTGTTCATAATTTAGCGTCTGCAATTTTAGGTTCACTTTTTCGTTTGCCAGGGCTTCTATAATGAGTTTTTTCGAAAATTCGCAGTTTTTTTCGCGTACTATTAGATACTTTCTCTCTACCGCAGTAGCGAGAAAGTACAAATGTAATTTGGTAATTAAATTAAAGAACTAACTGTTTGAGTACACAATTGTTTATTTGAAAAATATGTCTTCAATGTGTTTAGTTTGCCAAAAATTCAAACTTATAATTCTCGACATAAGAGTTTACCAATCAAATCGGCAGCTTTGCAATGCTTTAATAACTAATATTCACACTATGCTTACCGTTTAAAGAAGAAAAACCTGGGGAAAATAAACATTAATTTTTCTTCTAGAAAAGATGAAAAAGCCTAAGAGTTTCAAATAAAGCAATCAAAAATTTTAAAGACTTTATCTAAAACTCGCAGGGCTTGCAAGTCGAAGCAGAATCGAACAAGGGAATATTTCGTTTTGGCAAAAATGCAATGGATAGTTTAAGGCGCTAGTGCTGTTCATGGACAGAGCATTTAAACAGTTATTGAAGTTTCAGTATTCGAAGTCCGCAAAAACGTATAATTTCCGTTGTAAATCACGTAATCGATTTTCCGCTGCATTTTACATTTTCTAAACTGGGTATATTACTCCGTGTTATACGTACTATAGTGAGGAAGCAACTATAGAAGATGGCAATTTAGATGTATTCGTACTAATATTTTTCTAATTATTTGTCAGGGGCATGTTTTCACGTTTTCTAATTTTTCCCTAGGATTCCTAATAGAGTATAACTTGAACATTAGATTTAATAAAAGGGTAAACATCTGTTCTACTTGTATATAAACTCTTTTCATTATAAAAACGGCTCCAAAGTTTTTAAAGTTTAATTTGAACAATGCTTGAAATAGAACAGTTTGAAAATATTTCAAATACTGTGTTAGTTTAAGATAAATCGAATAAATACAATACACCAAAATTAGGATTTTGTGATGTTTATTGCGTTGGCATATAGACACTGGGAAACCGAACAAAACGGGGATACTTACATTCAAGACCCTTTACTAACTACCTACAAGGAGCAAGATTTCTTATCCACCTGTCCGCGTTATTAGGGGCAACCATAAAATTTCTTGTCGACACACCATTACAATACTTTATACTGCTATAAGCAGTATGGCGAGAAAATAAAACGGCAAAGAACATCGTAAAACAAAGTAAAATAATTTTGTTAAAACGATATGTAGTTTTTTTTTAAAATGCTACTAAATGGGAGTGACAAAAACAAAATAAACAGTATTATATTAGTGTTGAGTCACCCGTCTAAAATATTTGTTGTTTGCAGGTGACCATAGGACTCAACCCTTTCCAGAAAGGCGCAGCTTGGACACTCTAAAGGAGCAACTCATCAAAAATGGAAAGAACGACTTTACCGAAATTTATGAACTATATTCAAAGTAGGACGACCGATATACAAAATGGATGAACGAGTTCCAAGACTCGAAGAACAACTGCCCAAAAGCGGAGGAGGTTCCAGGGCGGATTGTGGCGAAAATGTTCACGGGAGTGGAGGAATCGCTTGGCAGCAGCAAAACTGAGGTATTTTACTGCTAAGGTGGACGAAGTTCTCGTGCAATTCTATCAGAGAGGTCTATCGCTCCAATTCTGAGAGTCAATTCCACCAGCATCGGTCCTCCTCTGCAGCCACTACCTCTTTCGCTCCACCACATCTTCATCACTCAAGACATAACAACTTCCTGGATCTGCACCGGCAGTCTGCAGTGCTTAAAGATCGGCTGCGAAGGAAACGTACCGCACCGTAGTTGGCTCATCCCATCCAGAAGAGGTCCTCACACTCCCAACTTTCCAGAAGCATTCTTTCCGCGCAGCCTCTCCTGCCAGCTCACCGACGTCCTTACTCACCCCACTCCTCTCTCATATACAACTTCCTGCATCTACCTCGTCCGCTGGACGGGTCCTGAATGCTACCAAAGGAAACGTTCCAACCGGCGCTCGCATCAGCCACTCCATGCAGGGCGCCCGCGCGCCTCCTCCAGCCCCTCCACAGACACCCGAACGTCGCTTTTCTGAGGCCGGAGAGAGGGAGATGTGGTTTCAGCACTGCGGCGGTTTCTGGCTGTCGGAGGAAGAGTAAATGCGCGGGGAGCGGAGGCGCGGCATACACCGCGCTGGCAATCTGGCTGCGTGCAACGGCCGACACGGAGGTCGCGAACCTTGCTCATTGCGAACGGAGCGGGGGTGGACAACTGGGCTATAACCGCGTCGCACCCCGCTGGCACTGGCGCGCCAACGGGCACTCGGCGACGGTGGCGCGCCTGGTGGGTCCGCCGGGGCGGCAGTGGAGGCGCGCGACGCCCGGGGCGGGCCACCGCCCGTCGCCTTCGCCGCCCGAGGAGGCCACGCGGCGCGCTGGCGGGGTCGCTCCTGGAGGCAGGCGCGTCGGTGGACACAAAGGACGTCGACGAAGGACGCCCTCTCGCAGCGCGTCAGGCGGGAACTTCTCGCTGCCGGTCGCTCTGGCTGGCGCAGAAGGGGGCTGACGTGAACGCGACAGCCGGAGGGCGAAGACACTCCAACTCATGTATGGTTTAAATACGGAGCCCGAGATAGTGATGTCCTCTTGGAGAACGGAGCAGACGTGAACGCGACTGCGAGGGGAAGACATCCACTCATCTTTGCTTTAAAAAACACGGTAGCCTTCGAGAGAGTGACATCACTCTTTAGAGAAAGGAGCCGATGCTAACGTGATTGCCCAAAGACGGAGACACTGCCTCTGCTTATCGCCACCAAACTCGGTAGAAGCGGCATCGGTAACTTGCCTCTTGGAGAAGGGCGCCCGACGTGAATGCGGCTGGCGCGAGACGCGAGACTTCGCTCCTGAGCGCCACAAGCAGGAAACGCAGAAACTAGTGCATGTCTTGTGGAGAGAGGGGCAAACGTTTGATACAACCGACAATATGGGCGCAAACCCCTCTGCTGATCGCCATGGCATCACGGAAAGATCCTCGATCGTACTTGTCTGTTGGAGAATCGGGCAAACGTGACAAAGCGGATATTAATGGAAACACTCCTTATTGGTGGCAGTGAAAAATCAGAAATGATATCGGGTGCAATTGCTATTGACGAAAGGAGCTTCGCCAACAAATAAAAAACAGCAACAACGAGTCCGCCATTGTTTGTTGCCTCCAGACGGCGGCAACGAGGGTATCCTTGAATATTTTGCTGAAAGCGGTCCAACTAATCCGAGAGGGCGAGATAGGCGCTCCCTGCGAGTGGCTGCTAACGCTGAGGGGTTGTGGATTCTTCGCGGACGCGGCTCGTGACGTGGTGCTGGGGGAAGCAAGGGATAGAGGCGTTAGTTTGCCTTCAGCGGCGGAGCGGACGCCAGGAAGCTCTTTCGCGCGCTGTTACAACCTGGGCGTCAATGGCAATGCTACGACACGAGGATTCTACTGCACTGCCAACGCTGCTTAATGCAGGCCATCGCCTCGTGCGTGCGCTCGGCTGGTGGAGGCCGGTGAATGTGAATGTTTTAATACACAGTTGTTCCGTACTATCTTCCTTTGTTCCGCTTTCTTGTTACACATACACTCCCTCCATTTAGGCTCGCAATGTATGTGGAAAGAGAGTGCGTCGTCGCGGCGTGCTGGAAGGCGCGGTGCCAGTGGAAGCGTTAAGACCAATATAAAATTCCCATTTTCCTTTAAACAAATTTATTTACTCGTAACAGCACTGGCCTCTCGCATTTAGTGCCGCAACGAATGGGCAAAAAGGGAGTGGTGCGTCGGCGCTGCTGGATGGGCGCGCTGACGCCAGCTATAAGAAATGACTATGGCAAACTGCTCTGGCATGGCGCAAGACAAAACAATCATCAAGATGCGTGTTTCGAGATCGAGCGGCGATTGGTCGCAGAGAAAGGATTATAGGCTTTAAGGACACTGTACCACAATTCACTTCACACTCGCTCTTCTTTTTACAAAGAAGAGAAAATGTTCCTCTTAATGATTGAATAAATCTAAAAGCACCTAATTGAAGAAAGGTGGAATTTCCCAAATCTGATAAAAAACAAACAGACAAAATGTATTTGTTTACCACTAAAACAATAATGATTAATTGGTGTAAGAGTTTATTCCAAGTTTCTTTGTCTTATGTCTTTTTCTGTTCACAAACACCTCTTATGCGCATAAAAGAGAAGTGAAGATTATAGTACATATATATATATATATATATTATATTATTATATATATATATATAATGATATATATCAAGTTCATTAATGTTATTAACTTTAATGTAATAATGTTTTGAATCTGCGATTATTGGATCATTGCAGCTCAAGTGGTGAACCCCCCCCCTTTCCCCCCCGTACCGAACTAACATACCCGCCTTACGCAGTGCCTAAAGTGGGATTTTAATTTGATTTAGAAACTACTGAGAAGTCATATTTAGATAAATGCTTAAGCGGACGCCGGAAGACGTTCTGCCACCTTCATTTCCTTTTCTTCCCCTCTCCTCCCGCCTCTCCTCTCCCTCTCCCCTCCTCCCCTCTCCCTCTCCTCCTCCGCTCTCCTCTCCCCTCCCTCTCACTCCTACCCCCTCCCTCCTCCTCCCCTCCCCCCTCCCCCCTAATTACATGCTTTCTGTGCATATGGTAAATCCGACCGAACTAACTTGACGCCGCTATTT